GGCAGTCCCGGTCTCTTGTAAATAATATTTACCATTAAATATTAGGTAGTTGTGCTTCAGGATGAATTCCAAAAGGGACATAATGAACGAAATCTGTGTCTCCTTATATGACGCTGTTTCTAAAAATGAACGACATGCTTGTATACCTGCTTCATGTGGGATGTTACTGTACAGTGATACAACGTCTAGGCTTGCTAATAAAGTATATGGTGGTACTTGAAGCCCTTCTAAGATTAACAGAGTGGACTTCGTGTCCTGTATATAAGAAGGCAATTCTATGACATACGGATATAAGATTTCGTTAATGAATTTGCTAGCTCTCTCGGTCAGGCAATTGTTGCCTGAGACGATTGGTCTCCCGGGAGGGATTGTAATGCTTTTGTGTACTTTTGGCAAGCGATATAGTGTAGCAACAGTTGGATGTTTATGTGGCAGTAAGTATTTAAACTCCTCCATGTTGATGATTTTTTGTTCTAAAGCCGTGATGAGTAAGGCTTCGAATTCTTTGATATACATCTCCGTTGGATCGGAGGGAAGGACACTGTAATTGGATGCATCACTGAGATGTGTCATGCACATATCAATGTACATGTCCCGGTTTAGTAGGACAATGTTACCGCCTTTGTCAGCTGGCTTTATGATGACATTGTCCAATGATTTTAATTCTTTGAGAGCTTTACGTTCATTGATGGTCAAGTTGTTGTTAGATGGACGTTCAAGATGCATTTTTGCCAGGTCGCTGGTAGTCATTTCGACAAACAGATCCACATGTGGAGTGTCTTTCAGGTTGGGGGTGAACCAACTCTGGGGTTTTAATTTTGTAAGGGATTTAGAGGGGTTTTGTTCATCAAGCAGTTCTGTCAATACTTTGGAGAGCTCAAAGTCCTCCAAGCTCAATCCCAAATCATTTGCCATAAGTAAATCCCTTTTAGAGTGCATGAGATTTAATGCTAATTTCCTGCCGAATAGGTTTATGTCTTTTGACCAATCAAACTTATTATACCCAGGAGTGGGTACATATGTGAGGCCTTTGTTTAAAAGGGAAATGTGGCGTGATTGTAGTGGGAAATTAGACAGATTTATGATTTTATTAGATATTAAAATTTCTGACCCCGACCTTGTTTTTTGTAGGCCCAGCGATCCCTGTCTCTCAGGCGTCCCCTCTGTTCTCGAGGGAGATCCTGTCCTAAAAAAGTCTTGGAAGTAGTTGAATTAATACTGTCAGAAGTGATTGGGGCGTCTAAGAATGCAACCGATTTATCGGTGCTTTTCAGGATGCCCCTCGTAGGTGAATGGTTTGGAACTGGATCGTTGTTCCGCATGTTCCTGTTATATTGCCTTTGTCTAGATCTAGAGGAACCTGTATCTGAATCTGACCATTCAGTCTCCGCAGATGTAGAACCCCTCTGACTGTTCCTATATTTGTGAAATTTACGTTTTTTACGAAAAATTTCGCCTTCCTTGAAATCATTAAAGTCTCTTTGAAACTTAGTGTTTCTTTATTTTTATATTCTGTCTAAAATGTTCAATATTTTTTTGTAGTTTCGTTTCCATAGGAAGAAAGAGGTTATCTGTTTTGAATTTTTTTATCTGTGTGATCTCATTTTGTAATTTAGTGTTGGTTTCCTCTAGGTGTATGGTTTCTAATTTTACCAGGAACGTCATTAATTTAGCAGAACAGTCCAGTAAGATAGCATTCCATTCATTCTGTTGCTCTTCTGTTTGTATTTTATCTGGTACCAGAATGTCCGGTCGAAGACCTCTGGGAACTAATTTTTGTTCTATGTATTGGTTTAAACTAGTTAGTTCCCAGAAGCTTCTAATATGTTGTTGATATAGTTTCTGTATTTCAAAGAATGCCTCATTAATATCGGTGTTATTAGGGCTATTCGTCCAACAATTAGTGGAAAAGACATTTTGAATATCATCTGTATTGATAGTAGGATCTGATAGTCTATCCAAAAGGTCAGTCATTTAAAATGGCACTTCAGAAGGTAGCTTTCTTAGAAATAGGTATTAAAACCTGATTAAAGAGATACTTGACAAGGTGAAAGCCTGATATAAGGAGAAATGGTAAGGTAGTGAAGGGGTTAACCCTAAATGTAAATATAATTAAGAAAAAAGAGAGAGGAGCACTACCAAAAAAGTATATAGTTTAAAATTTAACTTTTAATGGTGAACGAAATACAAAGTGATCATTTCACATATAGAGTCATATTTGGTCTATATATATATATCAAGACCCAAAAAGATCATATGAGAAAGTATAAGATTTAAAAACCCAACCAGGACAGTATCTAAATGTCAGAAATATAAATGACAGTTAGGGATAAATAGATAGAAACTGTCTGCTATGATGGTAGAAATATAAATGACAGTTAGGGATAAACAGATAGAAACTGTCTGCTATGATGGTACTATTGCAATGTATCTAGTGTATTTTATAGTTAATCAGACTTTGCAACCAAACGAAAAACGTCTGTTGCTGTAGTTCAATATCTCCAAAGTGTAACTAATTAAACTTTGTGAATATAGAAAGACTACGTCTGCTATAATGATACTGTTGCAATGTTTGTTACAGAAAGCAGACTCTGCAAGTAGCAAGAGGAGCATCTGCTACAAAAATTCGTATAGAATACTTTCAATATGTCCAAAGTATTCCTAATCAAGCTTTGCAAGAAAAAAGAACGTCTGCTGCTGTAAATTATAATTTATAAACGAAAATAAATGAAAATAAAACGCTCTGGTGGTATGACAGTTTAGACAGAGCTGTCTGATTTAACCACACAGCTGCAGTTAGGATTGAATATATATAATATGATAATATGCATACAACTATCTTCTAGAAATAATCCGTTCTATATAGACCCCAAAGATAGATGTAGTTGGAAGATTTTCATTTATTTTCGTTTATAAATTATAATTTACAGCAGCAGACGTTCTTTTTTCTTGCAAAGCTTGATTAGGAATACTTTGGACATATTGAAAGTATTCTATACGAATTTTTGTAGCAGATGCTCCTCTTGCTACTTGCAGAGTCTGCTTTCTGTAACAAACATTGCAACAGTATCATTATAGCAGACGTCGTCTTTCTATATTCACAAAGTTTAATTAGTTACACTTTGGAGACATTGAACTACAGCAACAGACGTTTTTCGTTTTGTTGCAAAGTCTGATAACTATAAAATACACTAGATACATTGCAATGGTACCATCATAGCAGACAGTTTCTATCTATTTATCTCTAACTGTCATTTATATTTCTACCATCATAGCAGACAGTTTCTATCTATTTATCCCTAACTGTCATTTATATTTCTGACATTTAGATACTGTCCTGGTTGGGTTTTTAAATCTTATACTTTCTCATATGATCTTTTTGGGTCTTGATATATATATATATATATATAGACCAAATATGACTCTATATGTGAAATGATCACTTTGTATTTCGTTCACCATTAAAAGTTAAATTTTAAACTATATACTTTTTTGGTAGTGCTCCTCTCTCTTTTTTCTTAATTATATCATAAGGTTAGGCTGGAATAGTCAAGCTGTGATTATAACCAAGGCCTCGTTTTTAATATTGTCGAGTAAGCTTTGTAAATTAATAAATATTTTTGGATACATTTTTTAAATAGTTTA